CTCAGATGATCTTTTGCTTATCCTCTGCGTTGCTTCAGACTGGACGATGATGGAAGCAACAGTGTGGGAGTGCTTGCGACGAGCAGCTTCTCCGAGGCTTCTGTGGGGCCATCTGCTCCTATCCACCTGCTCCCAGACTCTTCAGCCGCTTTCGAGGAGAAGCTGACATTCTGACGCTTCTCTGGCTTGTCTATTGCAAAGAAGGAGCTACAGCAATTAAAACTTGAGCAGTGAGCCAGCCAACATGCAATCAACTACGTAGCTGTGGTGATGACATAAACAGAAAGAGTCACAAAAGGGATTGATCGAAGGAAACCTCACATCCATGAAAGCCATTGTTTGCAGTCACTTCCATTACCTAGATAAAGAACATTATGTAGGAACACGTAGGAAATTGTAGGAACCATCTCCCGGTTTGGCTCAAACACACCACTAAAGCCGTTGCTTGTGGACCGTTTCACACCCACAGTGCAGGGTAAACTGAGGTTGCACACCTCGTACTCACTGAGCAATGGGTAGGTCCTTGGCGCTAAAGGCGGTAGGTCCCAAGTTCCACCAGGTCTGTGATAAAACCAAACTTGGAAAGGAATGGACAGGAAGCAACATCGACTTGCAGCCACTCATTCCCAGCATTGGGTAGTGGAGACAAAAGAGATCAAAGCACATGGCTGAATTGAAAGGCAATTTAAGCCCGAAGGTTTCAAGGAACCTAGAACACCCGCACCTCGGTGTCCTTTCCAGCATTCCCGTCTTGGAGGTGTGGAATCCAGCCCTGTGGTGAAGCCATGCACTGAACCGTGCGTGACCCGTGACCACCCTGGCGGAGTGCCGATTTTTGAGACCAAATTGAAAGTTGCTCAAGATCAGGGAGCCCGCAGTCGTGAAAGAACAGATTGAAATCCATTCCCCCCCCCCGACCTGAAGCCTACCTATGCCAATGGCCCACAGCTAAAAACTTATCATTACTTATCTTATCTTATCTTATTCTTCACTTTTGATATGTATGTCCATTGTACAAAAATGTCCAATAAGAAGATGAACAGCCTAACTTGGGCTCCTCCGAGCTGGTCCATAGAGTCACTGGCCGATTGACGTGAGTCTCTGCTAGGCGCGGCCTGCTAGTTTCGTGGTGGCCTCTCGCAGTTTCACAGCATCTTCAGCTGCTCCAAAATGGGGAAGCAAGCGAAGAAAAGATCTGGCGGGGAAAAGTGCCTCTTTTCACATGAAGCCAATCAGCTGAAAAAAAGGAAAAACAACAGCAGGTGTTTGTATTTTGGGTGCTTCTTATAATGATAGACAAAGAAAACCCAGCACATCCTTCAGCAAAAAAAGCGCTGGTTTTAGAGGTCCCGACACCCAGCAAAGGACGAAGCTGACCTGAAACAAAGCGCCCGGTGAAAGAGCTTCCAGGCGGCGATCGCGAGAATGCAACACTTGTCAAGCTGTGTGTGCGTGAAGCCTTGTCAGCACTGACGTCAGCATCCAGCAACAAATGACTAGAAATGTTCATGAACATCAATGAACATTGGCTCAAGTGTTCACCCATAGACATTGCACAAACTCCCAAGCAATCAAGGACCCGGACCTACACTATATATACGACATGGTCTGCTCAAATCGACCAAGTTGGATGTCAGCTTGGTAGGTCGATAGTCACAGCAGAGTTCACCCAAGGAGGAACGTACAATTTCTGTCATTTGATAACTACACAGGTACATACAGCTTTTGCAGACCCGGAAAAAAATAAAAAAAGAAACACACACAGAAGTTGGCGCAAACATCTGACTCCGGTCTCTGGGGTGAGAAGACCATCTACGGAATCTGCGGATGGTCACCGTACCCGGCGTCCCGGCCCAATAGACGAACTGCCAGTTGTTGGGCATCAACACCTGGTGCCAGCTGACGGAGGGGTCTCAGGGATGCCGAATGCTCCGTGCTTTCTAGCCATGCTGGGAGACGGAAATGATTTGTTCAGTCCTTTTGCAATTCTGATGACCCTCCCAAGGACAGCACCATGGTCATCAGGATGCAAGGTGCATAGGATGAAGGTGGAAACATCTCAGAACTGATTAGCAGAGACCAGAGGATGGCCAAGAGCACACCTGTCTTCATCTAGAATCTATAAATCAGACCTAGCACCTAGGGTCCTTCTTGACAGAATTCTGACACAGAATAATATGGTCTGACGGGAGTCATCTACCAGGACTGCCAAAAACTCTGCAAAGAACGCTCCAGTAGAAGGAACAGAAAAACCAGCACCATTTCCTTCCACAAACCAGGAGATCTCGAATCGCCAAGGACTGTGAGGCTTTCCCGTCACTGGCTGGCAGCGCAGCCCCCCTGGGCTGACTCGGCGTTTCGACACCAGATTTGGGGCTTTGGTGAGAGCAAGTGACTTGACGGGAACTCGACTCGGTCCATAAAACCCAGCCTTCTGGCCGCCTGACAGCGTCTGAAAGATGTCGTAGGGCACCTCAAGGTTGGCACCCCCCACCCCGCAGCCACTCCAACCCCCTAGAAGTACCATGATGTCGCCTTTTTTGGGGGAATGAAGAGGTGTTTTTTTAATTGAGCATTCCACAGGTGCACTTCTGGTTGATTTTGGGTCGAAACAGGAAGTTACCCATCTTTTCCAGCTTCCAAAAGACGGGAGCAAGCTCAATTGAAACCAAGAGAAACTGGCAGAAAGTGCTCGCACGACAGGGAGACAGAGAGGGAGAGAAGAAATTCATCATTTGCATCCGCTCAGGGAGACGGTTCAGCGGAGTCATCTTTTGAAAAGTTGTGTCGTGACTGACAAGTCAAGCGTCACTTCTGTTCCCCCTCGGCTTCTCATCACTGCACAGTTCCCTTGTTCCCATACCTTCCAGCTCCTGGAAACCTCATAAACCGTGTGTCCAAAGCACAACAGTGCACAGCCGAAAACCACTCCGGTCAGAGCATGCCAGGCGCTCGGGCGAAGAACATGATGAAAAAGGAGAGTGAGAAGCCCAACAAGGCGCTCAAGAAGGCGAGCCATCCAACCTGAATAGAAGGTCTAAAGGGCGTTGGAATGCGTGCTGTGGGGCTCCAAGACAACTATTCATAATATCTGTTAGGATGCGGCGCTCCTCTATTTACAAACTGGCAAAGCCAGGGACTACAATCCTGGGGCGGGAGCCATCACACCAAAGTTACTTGCCAGGCTCAGGGTGAACTAGAAATTAGTTCCCAAAGTTACTCAAGGGAACATGAACCCAAACACGTTCCAAAGATACTTTTGTGCCAATTGACTGATCCACTTCTACTGGTGTCAGCAGGACTTGGCACCGGATTCAGCCTGGCGGTGGGATATCTGATATCAATACAACCTAGATGGTGCAGGGTTCTGCCATATTCTGCCATTAAGGCAACAAAATGGGATTCATTACCCACATAACTCACCTTCCAAAATACTTAGGGATAAAGAGTCCCTACGACAGGAGGGAAATGTGGCACTCTATGACCGTTTGCATATTTACATTGTATACTGTATACAACATGAGCAATGAACATGTCACGCCAAGGACAGCTGACTGCCGACTGCCACGATTGCCGGCTCCACCAAGCCCGTAAAACTTCTGGCACGTCTCTCCACTTTCCAGCCTCCCTCTGGCTGAAGTGGTGCAAGATGACCCATGTGCCAAGCAAGACCTGGCGATGCAACCAGACCAGCCCGGTACCCTCCGCGAACCCCGACCGGACCAAGCTGCGTCGACTCCACGTCTTCCACGTCACCCTCCCGTCACCGGCCAGGGCGCACCAGCAGGGCGCTCAAGGCCAGCCCAGTGGTACCGGAGACCAAGTCCACAGCTGCCTGTTGCTCCATCTCCATAGCTGGAAGGTCCGAAAGTGTCGCCGAAAGAGACGGAAGGCACGAGCTCGGAAGAGTCCCAACGAGTCAGTCGACAAGAGAGGTCATGAGTCATGAGTCTTTCCCGAATGTGACTGTCTTTAGCATCACTATTTGGTCACCTTTATATACCTTTATACGATACTGGTGCTGAAAATCTGATTTGGCTTCCTCTTTTGCAAGGTAGAGAGCCTGGTGAAAGTTGAATTTTTGAGCTTTCTGATTGCTCGTGCCGGGGTCACCACATTTTGTTCGACTTCACGGTAGGGTTTCTGTGGAAGGATGATTGATTGATTGATTGATTGATTGATTGATTACCCCAAGCAAACGCACTTAATTACTGAATCGGGCTCTACCCCTAGAGCTCCTTTGAGTATGAGACCGATTTCTCCCAAATTCCAAAGGCCATTATTCTTCATCTTGCATTGATTTGCTCCTCTGGCCCCCGCTCGTGCAAAATCTTGCCGGGTTGATTTGACCATGAACACTCGCAGGCGTGTCGCGATTGCTCAGCGCTTAAGTCTTTGATCCAAAACTTCTGCAGCGGGAGCATGCTGGCAAGGCATCTGGCCTGGATTCAGCTTGCATGCATGTCACTAGTGGGAAGCACTTCACTCCACTTCGCAAGAAAGGTCGCGTTCGGCGTTCACGACACAGGAGACACAGGAGAGGTCATGGCCGGATCTACCGATTGAGTACTATTGTCATATGACCTGGACGAATTACTATCCCCTTGGGAATGCACTCATCATCGCCTCTTTCGTTGGATTTGCTGAACAAACACCAGTAGATGGTTGTCTTCCTCTGTGATGTAGGCCAGGTTTGCTATGTACACACGCCTGGTCATGGTTCACTTTCATGGTGTTCGTAACGGTCACGGTGTGTTGAAATATGTTCATCGACCCCACCGTTGACTGTTCCAACGTGTCGTTGACCGTTCGCCCTCGTCTCTTTCGGCGCGGTCATCTCGGTCGTCTGGTCGGAAGGACGACGCTTCCTTGTTGAAGGTTGACAAACACTGGCGGAACATCACGGAAAGACTGTGAATATCTGACACACTTCCGTCAAATCAACTTATATAGCTGCTGCCTGGTAAAGGAACATCAGAAAAAATCATCCTCTTCCTAAAGCCTCCTGTTAGAGGCCACTTCTGTTTCAGAGTGTACCTCATGTACCTTCATATCTGTGGCTTTTCAGGATCTCTTCCATCAACAGGAAGCCAATTCCGACTTCCTCCTGCTCTACGACTTCGCGACTTCACTTCTTCTTCCCTTCCTGGCGTCGCGTTCGTCGATTCGATTCCCACGGATCCGAAGAGCGAACACAAAGCTCCAAAAGGCTCGTCGAAAGGCCGACATACCCAGACTGCCGTCATCAGTCATCGAGCCTTTTCCTTCTTCTTCTCCTCTGCTTTGACTGCTTTGGCCTGAACGTCATGATGTGAAAAAAGCATGTCTTTGCTGCCGTTCAATAGCTTAGCACCCTCTCAAAGTGCAAGTGATCAGATGTCGATTCCATGTCTTCCAAGTATTTCACAAGCCGATCTCCAACAGGTTTTCACACCACTGCGCGAAGTATGCTAAGTTCAGCCTCTGAACTGCTTGGGCCCCGCGAATGTTCGTGGAACCATCGACGGGGTCAACGTGGTTTTCGCCAGTCCAATGCAAATGCTCCCAAGATTTGCCTACTTGTCTTACCATATATATTATTATAGGAACCACGCCTCATGTTGCCAGAAATGAACATCAAAGACTTGACAAAAATGTGTCGAGTGGTTCAGTTTGGTTCACAACTGGCCCATCAAGTGGATGCAGGGCATTCTCCACTGCTCACAACTGGGAGTCGTACTGTGAGGACACGCAGAATTGTCGGGTGGTCGAACTGCCATGATGCAACAACTCCTCAAACTGAACCTGTTTATATATGGACCCCCATCTAAAAATCCTCTTGGGGGTTGTGCCATCTATTCTGAAACTACTGTAATATGCTTGTCACCTGTCAGTCACATCTCACCTCTCCTTTTCATCTTGGAGACGCCTTGTCGCGAGCCGTCAGCTGTCGGACGACCATGAACACAACGTAGCTCACGGCGACCACCTCAAGGGGGGGCGGTGTGGGATGGCGGTGTGGGATGGCGGCGATGCGCTTGGTGCAGTCGACGAAAACTCGGAGCGTTGAAAAAAGAGTTCAAAAATCAAGGACAAAAGGCCACAACTCTGGTGTATTGGATGAATTTTACTGTATTTTGAGGTATTTTGCCACAACTCCGGTGCAGGACCTCGGTGTTCTTCTAACACAGACTCGATGGAGGAAAACATATTTGAGAGAGATCATCTTCTGTTCTGTGATTGCGGTGCTGGTCCTGTGTCACCTGTTCTTCTGGTTGAAGTCTTCCTGGTACGGCACTGGATTCCGGAGCTTCTTGATATATAGTCTTGATGTATGCAAATCTCAGTCATATGCCAACCCCAAACATTTGAATATCTGTTTATGTCCAGACTGTCAAATGCGTAAAGGACCCACTGTCGGGGGCGCATTTTGTTGGCGCGCATCGCTTTCTCGCTGCCTTGCTCTCGGCTGACAATGCATGAACACAATCAGCTGAGTGTTCTGGGTCATCTGTGCGAAATTCAGCTGGTTGGGATAGCTCTCCACAACCGCTGGTTGAATGTCTTTTATACAGGTCTATCAAGGTCTATGGTGAGCAAAGGATAGCAAAGGGTCTCTTTTTCAGGATCCCTTGTTGGGGGGACAAAGGCCCGCTGGTCCTTCCCTGTGTGGTCACCTCGGACCCTAAACCGGTCACTCGGAAAGGCTGCTGTTCGACTCGTCGGTGCTCGTTCGACTCCATCGCGGGTGGAACAGAAGTTCTGAACCCTCAGCCACCATCGCCTTGCTCCGATCAGGATCGGCCGCTTGGAGTCGACTTGGTCGGGGTTTCAGGGTTTGCCGGGCGATGAAAAAGGGAGCTTCAAATGAAGCTGACGTCTGCACCGGTCAAGGCGGAAAGGCTTCGATGTCCAAACGCAGGTGGGTAAAGCTTGGGCTACACTAATCTGATGAAGCAAGAACAAAGAGGAGAGGCTGTGCCCACATTGTACAAGCAGGAGAGGTGCTAGGTGTGGGCTGGGTGCCAAACACATATATTATATGCATATACGAGACACATATTGGAGTATATGTGTGCAACACCATCAATGAATTCATGTGCATATACAGTATACACAGTTCAGGTTAACCATGCATGTCATACAGTGTCATAAGCAATTCATATTTCCGTATATGCCGTATATGCATGCATGCATGCATAACTCATATAACTATATAACCGTTTGTTTACCGTACCGTTGCGAGGATAGCCAGATGTGTTTACCGAAACAATTTAATATCCTCCAACTTCCAGAAGGCAACATGTAGTCGCCAAACAAACCCTGTCGGCTTCATCCAAGGAGTGAGCAGCTTGTGCTGCTCCCTTGTCGGCAGTGATCTTCGGACCAAAAATTGGCGATGAATTCAATGACCGGGCAATGACCCAGCATCCAACTACTCATCAATTTCGAGGAAAGGCAATAGGCACGAACACGACCTTGCGCCAAAGACTCTAATCAGCCTAGTTTAGCTTGCATTATTTGTTGAGGCTCTTCCAAGCTCACTTCCTCGAAACAGGCACTTGAGCAATAAACTTCCACGCATTGGCCACGGCTCAAGAGTCTCAGTCCATAAGTTGTGTAGGTCAGAGGACTGTCTTCCGCTTAAAACCCATATCTCTTTGTCACAGGACCCCTGCATCAAGCATTTTGAGCAAGGATGTCAATGAAAAAGATTCACAATGCTGTATCAGAAATAGATCCCAAAGAGCTTGCAAACATGTTACCCATGTTCACTGTTGTGCCATATACAAACAGCAATGTGTGCCGGAAATGACTTGCAGTTGTTGCTTGGTTGTTGAATTTGGTGAGTGCCCATGTCGGCAACTGCTTCATCCACTGCCATATGTCGTTCTGCGCCCAAAGGCCGCATAACCCGTCTCACTCTCATACAGAATAAAACACACCAGAATTCAATCTAACATCAGAACGTGCACAGTCTTCCAATTGGCAAACCCTATGTAATCCATATGATTCTTGTAATTGCAATATAACGATATAAACGTACACCGAGGCATGCGTTTGAGACTCTTGGCCGAGGCAGGGCCGGGTGACCTCGGAGTGCCTGGTGCCTGGTGGGCTCGGTATTGTTTGATCCACTGGCCGGACGACAAACCCCCCAGCCCTGTCCCACCGAAGCGAAAGGGAGGTAGGCCAGTAGGCCAGGAGCCCTAGGGATCAAGATCCTACAATAGTCCATGGGATCAAGATCCAGGGATTAATCAATATTAATTATCAAGATCCTATAGGAATGAACCAAGAGTCGATTGATCCAAGATGATCCAAGCCTAGCGGGTGACCAATGCCCTCCACACCTGCCACCTGCAGCGGCTAGCCCACTTCCGAGTGTGACCCTATCCGCCCTGTGCGAGTCTCGCGGTCCGCCACTGGCGACCCGTTGCATAAAGCAAGGGTCCCGTCCTACCATCAGAGTTCTTTAATTAAACTGGGTGTGTCTCACAGATTGGGATCACATTAATGCAAACTGAAGCATTTTTGAGACAAACCCATCTCACTTCCTCACTTCCATACAGTTGATTGAACATCCACCTGCTACTCAAGTTCGTGTGGGCTATGTGGAAATGTTCGTACAGAACAAGTGAACAAGTGCCAAAGGACCTAAGACCTATAGAGCTAGCAAGCAGCAGCAAAGAGCGGCTCTGGGTCAACAATAGAAACACACTATGCCAAGTCGGGCCCTCATATTGGTCATGAAGCGTGAAGTGCCACCCAAACTCCGACACTTGGATGACCACGCCGGAATGGGATGTGATCACTGGCCGCGTTCGATTAAAGATGTTGTTTTCATCCGCAGAATGTGCAGGCCACCCCTAAAGAACCTCGCCCAAAACGGTTGTCTTGAATCCGCAGCTGCTTGCACCCAAACCGGAAACACTAGCGTTGGCGCGTGCAGAAAGCTTTCGCTGGGCACACGCAAGGGATAGGACATCAAAGTAGGAGCAACGCAAGCTCACTTGAGTTGATGGAACCACCTTAGATTCACTTTAGATGGTAGCTGGATTGGCATTTATTCTCAATGGACTTTCGGCGATGGGAGCCTCCCCTGCTCTTGCAGCTACACTTCCTTGAGTGACATGATCAACCGCGCTGGAAATGATTGAACATGCAGCGTCAGAGTCGCGTGGGCGAAAGGAGGCAGTGCAAGTGAATTTCTGTCCAATAAAAGGAAACAACTGGCACTGGCTACACCAAGTTACACCATACTTGCCGCCACATTGACGTGAAAAGCGACAATTCAGCTTGCCTCAAAAATAGAGGACAGCAGGGAGAAATCCTTCCCTGGCACGAAGACACCAACCAAATCCAGGAGACCAGACGTTTCCAACTCGCCAGGTGCGAGACCTTGCCTGCAAAAATCGCAGCCTCAAAGGGATCGCAAGAAAGCAACACTAACAATCTCTGAAAACCATCGTTCCGTGTAGGTTCTGGTCAGTTCTTGTTTGCTAAACTCTTCTTAAGACATGCTTCGGTATAGGACATCCTGCGGCAATTCGACCCCCTTGTCTTCCTGGCCGTTTAGCTCCTCAGCATTTTGGGAAGCATGTGTAGGCATCAGTGGGCTGGGAATGATGATAACCATACGCTTGAAAAGATTTGATTAGCGGATTGGGGTGCTACTAAGGAAGACAAGTTTCTGTTGGAGGGTCATGAAAAGCTGCAATACAATAGAAAATAAAGAGAATGAACTATAACTGGACCTAGTCCATGGAATAATCAACATGAACACAAACAAATGCTTAAGCACTTAAGCTATAATATACATATCATATATATATATATAACTAGCAACTAGATTGCAGAACATTCAGGGTGCAGGATGGTTCAAGCGATTCCCTTCAGGGCCGACTCTGACTCTGAATTCCACGGCGCCGGGAACGAGTGTGCCTGTCCAGTCCCGATCACCTCGGTCGTGTCGTGGTGCGAAACGAGGACACGTCGTGTCATTTCGAAGCTGCAAAGGGGAACGGAAGGAACATTAAAAAACTGCTACTGGGATGCGCAGCAACGTATGGATATGATGGATGTCCCACTGATCAACGGCGACAGTGGTGGTACTTGTGGTGTATATATATATATACTGTAATAACTATGTCAGTATATCCTGTTGCTGCTGCTGTTGTTGTTGCATGCCATTATCACTGCATATATAAAGCACTGGTGCTCCTCATCTATATCAAGGGAAGTGTCCTACTCCTTTCACCAGTGAACTCACCGGTGAACTCATCGGACGAAGCGTCCAGCTTCCGCGTCGCCTTCGGTCCAAGGAGCGTCCGCTTCGACGGTCGGTCGGTCCTGCTTCGTAGAGGCGTCGGACTCCTGGCCGGGGTGGCCAGCGGGGTGGTGCTCAACACGTCGAACAATGGGGGGTTTCCCTCTGATGGTGACTAGATTACAGTATATGTGAAATGACCCAATCATTTTGGATCAATGGCATAGTCCTGACATAGACCCCAAACAGTTTCAGTTCTTTTGCGTCAGCTCCGTGAATTCCAATGTTGGTGGTAACGTCGGTCATTAAATCCTCCAGCTGTTTGGGAACGGCATGTAAAATGTAAACATGTAAACAAAAGATTGAGAACAATTGAAAACAGATCCTGATTGCCGGGTCACATGTGCAAAGTCGAGGGGATATGTCATGAGAAAAAACAAGTTCGGAACACTGTGTCACTGTTGCATTCATAGCGACAAGAAATATACCCAGACAAGGAAGCGGAGAAAGGGAAAGCGGGACAAGGCTCGGACAAGGTGGTGATAAAAGGGCCGACAACGCAGACAAGCAGGACAGACAGACTGGGACAAGGCCTGGACAAAGCACTTTTGCTCCGTTCGTAGCGTGCTTGCTCCGTTCGCCCCTAGTAGCAGTAAGGCCAGGAGCCCCGTTCGTAGCGTCCGATCGCTTCTACCCACAGCGGCGGAAAAGAGAGGCCT